ATGCAATCACCGTCTCTACCATTTGTGCAAATTATGCAGTTTTTTGTTGTACATAGACGGTCATATAGGCGGTTGCTAACTAGCTGGCGTCTTAGAGTGTCCGATGGTATTTCTATCACTCTTACGGAATTCTCTAGACCGGCCCTTATTAAGCAGGGTTTTATAGCTGCACTTATTTCGTTTGAAATGAAGGGCAACAGGAACGGAGCCTTGTTTTCGCTAGAATTATCGCTCTGGGGCGCGAGTTTTCCTCTATGCCTATGCCANATATATGGGCGATAACTGTGTCTGTGTCAGTTTATTGGATTAGCCCGAAGTATGGCGCCAGGTCACGCGTGATGACAAAACACTCCTCCTTGCGGTTCACTTTTGAATTTTTGGAATCGGGCCAAAACGCTTCAAGAGTTTTACGCGCTGATGTTTTCGATCTTCTCCGTTGTATTCCTGCATCCTATGCGCGCCTAGTGGAGTGTTTGGTTTTAATTTGGATTTACCGACTAGGTGCTCTTGTATGCGAACGCAGAGTGGTCTACCCGTTTCGCCAACATATTCGTCCCCGCACGCTTTATAAGAGATCAGATAGACTGTACCCGAACTCATGCAATCACCGTCTCTACCATTTGTGCAAATTATGCAGTTTTTTGTTGTACATAGACGGTCATATAGGCGGTTGCTAACTAGCTGGCGTCTTAGAGTGTCCGATGGTATTTCTATCACTCTTACGGAATTCTCTAGACCGGCCCTTATTAAGCAGGGTTTTATAGCTGCACTTATTTCGTTTGAAATGAAGGGCAACAGGAACGGAGCCTTGTTTTCGCTAGAATTATCGCTCTGGGGCGCGAGTTTTCCTCTATGCCTATGCCAAGAAGTCACAGTTTCGTAACCATTTGAAATGGCTATCTGGTGCTCCAGTTTCTAGGATTCTTCCTTCTGATCTCTACCTGTGCACACGCTGGCAGCAGTTCGAAACGTATTTCTTATAAGCGCCCTTTTAGTGTGTGAGGGATGAGAAGAGAGGTAATTAATCACTATATTCTTACTGCATGGCTTTCGGTACCATTTTGTGTTGTAGCCGTTTTCCGATATGTTGATTTGAACGTTTAGAAATGGGAGACAGTTCTTTTTCGGTTTCTCACGGGTGAATTTTATGTACTCTGACTGTTCATTCAATAACTTAAAGCATTTGTCCATCTACTCTTGTGTGGAGCAGATGACAAAACAATCATCTATATACTTACAGTAGAGTAATAGCGTGAGATCGATTACCGGTGCTTCCACTTTAGACATAAAGGCAACGGCAAGGGTTGGTGCCAGTCGCTGTCCCATTGTCAACCCTCTTATTTGCGCATAATATTTCCCGGACCATCTGACGTTCGAACAGTTTAAACAGACCTTTAAGACGACCATAAGTTGCTGAATCGAAAAGCCATACATGTTAATTGCTCTTTCGTGTTGCTCAAGAAGCTCGCGGTTGGCTTGCATTGCGGAGTCGTTCGACACGTTATAGTGTAAAGGGCGGTAACGTCGAACGACTCTATAACGTAAGCGCTTTTGGGACGTGTGTTACGCAGGCGATCTAGGAACATTTGAGTGTTGGTGGGATGGGCTGGTATATATGCTTAAGCACTTGGTTGAGAATTAGATTTATAAATGAAGCAATCCTATCAGTCGGCCCGTCTACACAACTGATGATGGGTCTAACTTTTAAGGTGCAGAGGTCGGTAGACTCCAGATCATCAGCGGATATTAACTTATGGGTCTTGATAAGTAACTATAAGGCAGAACATGTCGGCACATCGATCTTAAGATGCGAAATATCTGCTGGTTTTAAACCAGCTAAGCTTGCCATGACCCATTCGTTGTTCAGTTTTCGATTTTGGCTTCTGAATTCCTTTTCAGTTGATGCGCGATAGAGAGAGGAGTCTTCAAGATGTTTTTCCGTTATATCGACATCTAACTGGCGAGGAATTATTACAAACTCTCCACCCTTATCTCTAACTGATAGCCTAATAGTCTTTGATTTTATTAGCTCTCGAACCTGTCGCATACCAGATTTTTGCGCATCTGTAAGGTTCGAACCAAAGTAAACTTTTCGCGCGATAGTGGCTAAGGACTGAGAGTTTCGCTCGAAAACATGGGGAATTTTATATCGACTTCGTCGTTTGGGTCTTGCTGTCTAAAGAATAACCGAGGAAATGGAGGAGGTGGGGGTAGTGCTCCTGCTTCTCGTTGTTCCTTTTTATTTCGTGTCTCAATTCTAGCGTTGCTTCGGAGTCCATCTTGGAGCTCGTGCAGGCTGCACGCGATCCTACGTAAGATTTGTTTAGAAATGGACTGCGCTGGTGAGAAAACTTCTGCCAGCGTGTGCACAGGTAGAGATCAGAAGGAAGAATCTTCGAAACTGGCTCGCCAAATAGCCATTTCAAATGGTTACGAAACTGTAGCTTCTTGGCATAGGCATAGAGGAAAACTCGCGCCCCAGAGCGATAATTCTAGCGAAAACAAGGCTCCGTTCCTGTTGCCCTTCATTTCAAACGAAATAAGTGCAGCTATAAAACCCTGCTTAATAAGGGCCGGTCTAGAGAATTCCGTAAGAGTGATAGAAATACCATCGGACACTCTAAGACGCCAGCTAGTTAGCAACTGCCTATATGACCGTCTATGTACAACAAAAAACTGCATAATTTGCACAAATGGTAGAGACGGTGATTGCATGAGTTCGGGTACAGTCTATCTGATCTCTTATAAAGCGTGCGGGGACGAATATGTTGGCGAAACGGGTAGACCACTCTGCGTTCGCATACAAGAGCACCTAGTCGGTAAATCCAAATTAAAACCAAACACTCCACTAGGCGCGCATAGGATGCAGGAATACAACGGAGAAGATCGAAAACATCAGCGCGTAAAACTCTTGAAGCGTTTTGGCCCGATTCCAAAAATTCAAAAGTGAACCGCAAGGAGGNCTAGCGAAAACAAGGCTCCGTTCCTGTTGCCCTTCATTTCAAACGAAATAAGTGCAGCTATAAAACCCTGCTTAATAAGGGCCGGTCTAGAGAATTCCGTAAGAGTGATAGAAATACCATCGGACACTCTAAGACGCCAGCTAGTTAGCAACTGCCTATATGACCGTCTATGTACAACAAAAAACTGCATAATTTGCACAAATGGTAGAGACGGTGATTGCATGAGTTCGGGTACAGTCTATCTGATCTCTTATAAAGCGTGCGGGGACGAATATGTTGGCGAAACGGGTAGACCACTCTGCGTTCGCATACAAGAGCACCTAGTCGGTAAATCCAAATTAAAACCAAACACTCCACTAGGCGCGCATAGGATGCAGGAATACAACGGAGAAGATCGAAAACATCAGCGCGTAAAACTCTTGAAGCGTTTTGGCCCGATTCCAAAAATTCAAAAGTGAACCGCAAGGAGGAGTGTTTTGTCATCACGCGTGACCTGGCGCCATACTTCGGGCTAATCCAATAACCTGACACAGACACAGTTATCGCCCATATATTACTCTATGCGGCGGCTATCCATCAACTAACTTAAATACTTACAACAAATAAACGGTAGGTGTTTAATTGAAGCTGTCTCTTATGCGAATACAAATTTGTTAAGTTTTATCTGTTAGGGTTTTGAAAGTGTTTAGCTGAGTAGATCACATCTCAATTTGACCTTTCCAGGCTCTGAGGAAGGCGAAACCGCCGATAACAACCTCGTGTCTGTTTATTGAAGAAAAACATCGAATTACCAATCAATTCCGACGTTAAAAGAAAGTCTGTCATGCGAATTGTAATTTTTCATAGGTATTTGTTCGAGTACAAATCTGGTTACTTTTTATGTTATAGAAAAATTACAACAAACGCTGTAAAAGTAATCCGGTTGTGAAGAAGGGATTCATCTCGGCAACCGGGTTTGAAGGATCTCGTGACGATAAACAATGAACGGACTTATACCCTAACAACGTTTTCGATCCAGTCCCAAGAATCAGTTCGCTTTTATCAATTGCACAGCTTATGTACCGTTATTTGAATCATTATCACAGTTAGAACTAAGGTCTAGTTATGTTAAAGTACCCAAGGAAAGAAAATCAAGGTACGCTTTTGGCAGTCTCCTATCGTTATATGAAGTTAGCTGTACAATAGGACATAATGAAGAAAATGGGACGAACGGAATGAGTCATCAGAATGCGGCAATAAGTTGCGAAAAGCAATGAATGATGCGAGGTAGTGGCCAAGAATTCTCCATGTCAATAAGAGAACATACTGACCAAATTGAGCCACAGAATTATTTTCTCCCAGTCGTTCTCATGCTCGGAGAACAACAAACGACTAAACACTAAATGAGGTTATTAAGTCGGACTTCATTCCCAGAAATAAGGTTTGTAGACGATGGGACCTTCACGAAATGAGGGAAATTCGGCTCGAACTCGATGTCTATCTTTCCCTCTTGCCGTTGAGTCTGCTCAAAGATTTATGGTAAACTGAAATTGTTAAAGGTGATTGGTAAAAGTGTGACATTTAAAAAAAATTCCTATGTAAACAAGGTAAATAAACCACGAATAGGATAACTTCATTCGGGAACCAGAAATGACCGGATTAAATGAGAACAAATACAACAATATTTCGAGGTGGGCACAGTTGTTCACTTTACCTGCTGTCCTCGTTGAGGTTTAAAGCAACAAGGAAAACCAACAGTTGAATACAAATTAAAAGAGCTGGAAAAGAAAGATTTAGTAGGAATGGATGTTCAACATTTCTAAAACTGTAGTTCTTATTTTCATCACTGACAACCTTCCACTCAAACTATCTGCCCATTTTTCAAAGGGTCATGCAGAAATTTCACACGTCTCCAAAGACATCGATTACCGAAAGCACGGTCTTAGGAAGACACGAAGAGTTACCGGAAACTTAACACGAAGGACACCGTTAGCGAAACTGATGAGGAACATATTGTCCAACAGTCCATACACATTGTATACAGAGAGTAAATAAGGATTAGAGAGGATTCAATTTGAGCGTAACGGTCTTATCTACCCACTCTGCCTCTCCATTATTTTGAGGCATGCTAGCTATCCTCTTCTCGTAGAATGTAGCATTATCGTTGCGATCCACAATCAAAATACTGTGCGATCTTGTTCCGTAGCGAAGGACATTTGGTGGGAACTTCACCATAATCGAACATAAGTTTCGATAATGTTCTTCTGGTAAGCCCGTCTGTTGTTCGATCTGTGGATCTGGACAATGTCTAAAGCAGAAGATTTAGTGATTTCTCTGGATAATTACAACGAAAACGACCTTTCAAAATTTTTAACTCTGTTCAGTTTTCAACGTAGTTTAACTTCAGCGAGCAATTTCTAATCACTGTGAGTGGACGGTAGTGGCAGGCAAAAATTCGAGATGGTGGTTTACTAAACGGGTCTCTTTTAGTGTGTATTTACTAACTGTCATAATACGCGAAACTCTGAATGAATTGTTACTAAGGACATTTGGTGATTAGAAAACAGCAGTTTATTTTCCCGAGCTTCTACCAGAATCCGAGTTATTTACAACCCAGATCACACGTATTACAAAACACTAGCGAGGTGGTCAAACAGTAGATAATCGCATTAAACTAACCCTGTAAATAACCCGATCTTTGTTAGTAACTTATTTAATCCCTCTTTCCAGGTCTTAACCAACGATTACTGATCAATGTTTTTGTGTTTCCAGTTAGGTTAGTATCCTACCAATTTTTTGTCTATTTAACTTCATTGAATTCCCGATCTTTCCTTCCTCTTTACTTACTTTGTCTTGTCGGTAGCAATTTTCAAAAGTTTTTCAATTATTTCTTGCACTTCAAGTTCATTGTCCAACGAAGCGACGAACTTCTCAAACAGTTTTTTACCCTCAGTCACTTTACGAAACGGCTTTTCAGGAGGACTATTACTCCATACATAAGTGCCTGAAAAATGAGATGAATGTAGATTTCAAAACCCTTCAAAGATCGTTTTTCATTCAACTTTAAGACTTTCAACGAAAACAAACGAGCCTGGAGGCCACATTCGTGGTTCGACAGGATCTACAAGCATACTGCATAATGAATACATTCTGTAGGATTCACAGCCGTCTCTAAAATACCAGCATAGTTGAACCAATTAAGATTAGCAAAAGCAGTTTTGTCCCTTACTAAGAATATCGCAACGACATCTAATTTTCCGTGGCATGGCCGTGAGACGACGTCTAATTTTTTGTCCGACTCTTTATGAACACTATAGAGGTCACACTGGGCGCAATGTCCCGCAATTTGGAAGATGCTCCCGATTTTCGTTATATAGTTGGACTTTTCCATGTGTTTTAAAAGAATTCCTGCGCGTGTTTTACTTTAAGTATACTGCATGTTCCCGTGCGTACTCTAACACGTTTTTGGTGCATATAAAACTCTTGTGTGTAATGAGAAAAAACACTCACCCATCGTCCAACCATACCGCTGTTAGCACTTAGTGAAGTTGTATAAGTTCTGCAAGGAACTTTACGATTTTTTCCTTTTAGTCTTGAAATTCTCTCATTCCAAACGGGGCAGACTCTGGCCAGGCTGACCCTGGGAACCCTCGGGACTCCAGGGAACTACACTGGTTAAACCACCAAACCGAAAAATGGAGATTGTGTACGGACCAGCACAGCCAGTGAGGACGGACCATCCAAGCATCAAAGTAAAGTATCCTCTCATTCCAAACAATACCCAAAGCTCATCATAACGAATGAAAATTAGAAAACAACGAAATCCTTGTCAGAAATGACGCTGCACAATGCACGCAATGCCAGTTCTTGGAAACAGGTATTTCTGCGACTCGTCACTGACTGCAGCCTCCACATTGCACTCTCTTTTCCAACGAAAATAGTCTGCCGCAGCAAAATAGGAAATTATGTCAAAAAATATTAAGAAGGTACTCTCTAATTGATGAGCTACGATTCTACATCAGCGTTGGATAACTACCGATTGAATACAATAAGTTTAGGAAAAAACTGCTGGGCACCAAAACAAACCCCAGGAAAGGTAATGACCTCTATAGAGCTCATAGTGGTCACTGCATCACATAAATGACCTCCGTTGAAATCAAATCGTCGTGGATGTACTGATAATGCATCGACTTACCTTTCTAGGCCTAAAAATTGAAACCCGTTGTATTCTCTCGCTTTGTCGGCCAGTTCATTGAAAAATTCATCACATGGACTCGAACGTTTCAAGAAATCATTTGTAATTGCGCCTAAATTTGTACAGTATCTTATTTTCCATCCTTTTTCTCCCTATTCAATGCTGTAGTTGAACACACAAACACAACTGTACCTCTGCTAGGACAATTCTTCTTTTTCATCTCAGCGGATTGTGTGATAGATAGAAGAATGCCAATTCTACCAGATTTATTCATACCGAACCAGGTGCCTCTGGTTGCATCCTGGAGATCGATGCCTAAGAGATTTTAGTTTCAACGCATAACGCTGACAAAAAGAAAAACTTGGAAAAAGTTAGACATATGCGGAAGAAAATATTCCCTAATTTACCCATTATCTAACTTCAAGATTTAGCTTCTACATCCTCCTTGTGTGGCCGACCACATTTTCATTTCTACATTCATTTCTAATTTCGTTTTTAACACCGTGTCTCAATCAACTACTAAAAAGATTGGGCAGATGAGTCACTGAAAAAAATACTTCCCTCAGATCGAAATCGCGATGAAGAAAACACTTCTGCAAGGTAAGGTCAGAGCTCCAGGAAGAACCAAATTACCCATCCAGCAATAGGCCATCCTCAGTACATCCCTCACACTTGGTGCTCCTCTTTCTAACATCAGGATGTGCGGTGAGATGGCCGGTGACAGACCACCAAATTCTGGGCTGCGCAGGACTTTACTGGAACCAGAACTGAAGAGCACACGACACGCAATGGAGAAACTAGTTGACGTCTAAGAGTGCTCGGTGGTATTTCAACCACTGTTATCGAGTTCTCCAGACCGGCCCTTCTTAAGCAACGTTTTACAGTTGCAGCTCTTTTGTTGGAAATAAAGGGCAGATTAAACGGGACCATATTATCGTTAAAGTTATCTCTTACCGGTCTGGGTTTTCCTCTACACCTATTCTGAGGAGCAACAGTTCCGTAGTCATTGGAAAACCGTCCGATATGTTTGGTGAGTGGACTCCACATGCTCTTCATATAGATTTATGTTACAGAAACCACCTCACTCGTGCACCACCTTGGACCTTCAGTGAATATGGAGAACAACATGAAGGAGGAATTAGAGAGAAGGGAAGCAGCTCGGGATGCCGCATTCGGGTCTCTCAAAGGAACCGCCAACCAATTGAGGGACCCGAAAATCCGCGCCCACCTTTTCGATTCAGTGGTCTTCCTAAGGCTTTGTTATGCTGTATAGATGTGGGTTGATACTTCAACCATGTCAAGAATACAATCTACATATGCTATTATGAACTGCTCTTGTTGAGCTGATGAGAGGTTGTTATAAGTTCCTGAGGATGTTGTTGCTGTTGTTTGATATTAGGCCATTTTTGCATTAAATATGTCGAGACTCTGAGGAATGCGAAATCGTCGAAATGTCAGTCTTCGAAGAACAGCAACAACAATGCATCAGCTCAACAAGGGCAGCTCGTAATAACATATATGGATATGTCTATGTTTTATAGAGACTCGGTCTATTGAGCTCTTTAAACAATGTTTTCTGAAATATAACCGCCGCATACATGTAGCTGGAATGTTCTGATCTTCGAGATCCGTCTCATTTTCGACACTCCGGAGAATACACATCGATAACGAAATCCAGATGAACCGGTTATATAATGAGAAGAACAGAAGACAGATGGACGAAAAAAACCGCAGAGTGGACTCTTCGAGGATGTAGGAGCCCTCTAGGACAACTACCTACACGTTTGCAGAAAAAAAAATAACTCCACCATGGAGAGGAAAGATATAACTGTTATTGTTTAATAACGGCAATTTATAACCGCATACTAAAACATGCCGTCTTTGTTTTTACATTATCTTTTATCAAATCTATTGTAGGGAACACAATACTTCTTCCTTTCCATTCGTCTCCACGCATCCACCATCCATTGAGGTTTTCGAACTTTTCAGGCAACGGTTCGAAGCTTGCCGATTAAGGATTTCGTATTCTTTACGAAAATTGTTGAATCGTAGTCGGGACGATTCTCTCTGGAGTCCCGCGATAGCACGGATAGAGCATTCCTCGTGGATTGCGGCCAGTGAATTCTCGCCCAGCACGTCTGGCACCAAATTCCCGATCCCAGAGGGATGAGGTGTTTGGTGAGACAGCAGCGAGCTCCAACCACCACTTTGCTTCCTGATAGAATATATCACTAATCACTCCGCTATTCCCCCTTTTGCTATGTCGTTTTAGAAAACCAAATATATTAAGTTAATCGAACGCAGGAATTTTTGCGAATCATATAGTTCTATTACTTAGGCATCGGAAAATTTCAAAATATTGGAACCAAACGTTGGGTGCAAAATGTTGAGACCAATAGGTAGAATAAGAGGCTAGGAGCTTACCGCTGAGTACGCCATCACGCCAGTCCAACTCCAGTGTCGGCCTGTCGAGATTCTCGTCGCGATTGTTCAGAATAATCAGTTTGTACTTCGAACACAGATCATCACTAATGAATATAAATGTAATACACATGGCCTCCTGAATAATGTAGATTTAAAATGTTCAGCTTTCCTTAAAAAATCATAATGTGTGACGGAAACTTCCAAAAAGGTCAGCGAAAACGAAACTATGGTGAACAACTGCACATTCTTTAACCATCATAATAAGACCAACTCCTTAGCTTCGAAGACGTCTAGGAAAATTGAAAAGTTGATCCAAAACACCTCTGACAATGAGTAGGGATCTTGTAGGAGGAATCAAAAAGGAGTTCAAAACTGACAACATCGGATAAAGACCGCATATTATAGTAATTCTGCTGTACTAAACTATGACACACAGCGGAGGTCTAATTGCTGAAAACGGTCACAAGTTCAAAAACAATTCAACATTTCCATTGCAAAGCTCGAGTAGATCTATGCTATGACAGAATTCGGCAAGTTACCTGCTGATACCGCCATGCTAAAACAATAAAAATAAAGGACATTGTATGAAAAAGGTAATGTCTATCAGGCTCGTCGATCGTTGAAAGCATAATATTCAATGAAATTTCAAAAAAAATGTATTTACCAAGGAAAATAAATGCCACACCTACCATATTTCTCCCCTTAATTGGAGAAGGGCGCGCGTGACGAAGTGGTCGAAGGAGCCCTGCAATACACACGTGCAATCGAACCCCACGCCCATGGCCCACCAAGCCTTTCATCCCTCCGGGGTCGGCAAATTGGTACCAGACTTGTCCGGGAAGATAGCTGCACTGGCTCGACACCTCGTTAGGCCACCGCGAGCCATTGTAAAGACCAGATTCGCATTCAGTCACTTCCAACGATATTTATGAAGTCGAATACATGACGCATCCCTCAGGGATTGATCGACGCCGAGAGCTTTATGCTTTTACCCTTTAAATTGGACAAACGATGGAAATGTATCTATCCAGCTCGGTTGCCTGGAAGAGTTGTCCAGTAGAATAGAATCCCTCAATGCGACGAGTACGAACAATTGTTTAGAATTCCAGCATCTATGACAACTCGCATCTAACCCATGCGAACCTGTCCAACCTACCTTAACTCCTTCGTCACAGACTTTACAGCACCATTTCTTGTTGTTGACAGATTGCGTTAACATGGATTCCACACCGCTTGATTTTTGTGCTTAACCTGGTCGATTCCTAATGTTTCCCTATCCAAAGCGCATTGAACAACATTACCTACATAACTTTGTTCTTTTTCCTTGTGCTTGCTGTGATTAGCATTTTCCAGTCAGCAATATCCTGTTCAAAAATAAATGACTGTACATGGTTCATTCTGTTCACCGTCACTCGTGTGTTAATCACTCCCATTTCTGAAAATAAGAATTCATAGCCTGTACCAACAATTTCATGGCCACTCCTTTGTCTTATACGATGATGTTCTTGTAGAGTGAATCATTTGCTTAAGTTTTCAGCGGTTTTGTATGGTCATATTTCACATGGTTCCCCCATTAAAAAGAGTAGGCAGTAAACAAAGGCTCCAAATGGTGATAAACGCCTGTGTTTAAGGCCAAAACACTACCGATACGGTGAGATCGGTACGTACAACAAATAGATGCCCCAAAGACGCTGTCGTTTCTTGGCCTCTTATTTCAAATGCACTTACCTTGGCAATTCGGCAGATGTTTAGCAAACCCTCATATGTTGTGCAGCCCTAAGCACTTCGTCTATTTGTTTTCTGCTCTTGAAATTGTGATCTTTCGAGGTTACTTGGTTACCGTGCGGAATTCGGTAGCGGTTTGTGCTGCTGCCTCCACTCATCATTCACGTGTAGAATTCTCATCGACTCCCGTTATCCCTGAAAAAGCGAGATAACCTGGGGATTCTAAGGCTTTCACTAGGGGCTTTCGCCGGCTCTTTTAGGCTACAAGGCTCACGATCTACTAGTGAAATGGATTATTCTAAGGCAAAAACAATGCATGTGATTGGTTAACCGACCGAACGAAGACGACAGATCTATTAATACCATATTAATATATTAATGAACAGATTTCATATTAAACTATCAAATATTTTAAGGAATCCAGAAGAACAGAATCTGTCTGAAATGAAAAAACTATATTAGCATTTCGTTTTAGCTGGTTAACTATAATATTCTACTATGTAGAGCGATGGATGTTGGTAAACTGATAAACAAACTGTTATAGGTGAAGAAAAATCGACATCCTTACGTATTGAAACGCAGCTGGATTCAGGAAAAGGCTCCCTGTGTCTTCTTTGCTTGCTCATGTGGTCCACAACTAAGTGGCTGGAATACATACACATGAGAGTTGATTCAGAATTGCCTCCAATGGATAGGCACAATGCTCACTCAGTGAAAGTCCGACAGGTTACCCGCCTATCTCGTAGAAAGCCGGAGAAACTAACCGATTTCGTTTCGATGATCACGGGAAGTCTTTCGGTTCACCAGGATTGGATGGGAAAAGTCTATAGAGACTGCGTGAAAGTAGAAGAAATCTGGTAACGACATTAAACGCACACATGCTAGCATCGGAATCTTTCTTTAAGGATGAGACGAAGCAAGCTACGAGAACTATGTACAGCGTTATCAGATAACGGTGGATATGAGGACAGATTCAGGAGTTTCTTAGAATATCGGAGGAGAATTCCTACTTGGAACTATGGTAGCACAAAACTTTGTGGCATTAACGTTTACATCACCACGAGCTTCGAAATCAATATTCATACTTTTTACAGCAACCGACTCCAACCGTACGTTCACACTCGGAATGATTCAAATTAATATTCGGGTTTACGGAATAACCAACGAAAATTTTAACAATATTTACTGCTCATATGAAGAAAACGAAGTTGACACAATCAATACAGTTTGGGTCCCTGCAGTGATCATATCTTCTACAAGAACTCATCACTGGCTACTTAGATCCCAAGTTCTCCCAGGAAAAACTCTATTGGACTTATGGTTTGAAATGAAAAGCAAATAGTGAGATTCTGTTTAAACTGATTATTGAGATTGATACCCACATGATAAACTCGCAATTCCAAAATCATTTCTTAGCACTAGATATGGGAGTTTCCCAGGACACAGTACCATAAAGAAATATAATGATTGTGAATCGAAGGTTTCGCGTAACCGATATCGCTGCCGCACCAAGATTTTAGGTGTCATACATAGGAGCTTCTTCGGGGCAACATTTTTCTGCACTAAGAAGGAAAGCTGGAAAAGTCAAAAATGATACCCCACAAGCATCGGAAATAGGAACACTCTATTTTTAAACTTAGTAAAATGCTGCTATCTACTCTATCAATGAGGAACACGACCTGTTCATTCAACCAACATCTTTAACAGCGCTAAAATAGTAAAGTTGAAAATCTTCCAAAAACACTTGTCTGCACAAATTGTCAAGCTTGTCCAACAATTTGAAGTTCCACAATGACAAACACCACCTTTTGTCGAAACGTTTACTGTTCTTGAGCATCCGATTTCTCTTAGCTCTCCCCGCATCATAAGTATAGCTGCAAAATGCAATCGAAGCACGAGAGGCGCGCTGATTAGAGATCATATGTACTATGGTCTTTGATTCGATCCTGTGAATGAGGACGCCTTACCCACCAACTGTCCGGGATCGCCAAATGGTGATACCTTGCATGGTACAATAAAAATACTGACCTCATACATTGGTACACCGCAAGTTATTGTATAAGTCAAATATGAATTCAGTCACCTCTACAATACCTAGATGGAGTCAAATGGTGATGCATCCCGAAAACCAAACATTTTATCAACACTAGTACCATCGAACGTTTTGTTATGCCATGGCTGGACACGTTATTTCTCACAATGAGGTAGTCTGCTAGTTCCGAGAAGGCCCGACATACCCTCATGTGTCACCTGAAACTTAGCCGAAAGCAAATCTCTTTTTTTTCAAAAAATATGTAAACACATCGATGGAGTCGTTGGTACTTGTGTTAGAGTCACACCACATAATAGGCCACAAAGCATAAAATGTTCAGATTCACCTCCAACGAAAATGAAGCATGTCAGCCTCTAAAAAGACTGACATTCCACATTAAAATCCATCTCAACAACATGTTCCTAAAAAGAGTTCACAATGTCCTCTCTTTTAGATAGCACATATCTTTGGGTTGATTTTATATAAGCGGTTCGTAACATCGTAGCACTTGTACGGGGAGTTCATAGCGAACGCATTCTGCAGCATTAGTTCCAAAAACTTCACGATTAGAATGAAGACAATGACAGCGGAAGATGAACTGTGGTTATCATCTATAATGACCACCTATGTGTGAATTGTAACACACCGAATACAATGCGACAATCTGTGGAGAAATCAGTTCAAGTGGGAAATGTTTAGAAACGGAATCGCATTCAAAAAGAAAAGCAAAAACAGGAAATCGGTGCCACCTCAACTGAGTAGAAGGCGAAACGATCGCTTCTATTAAATCTTCTGTGTACTTGTTTTATACAACAAAAACAGTGCATTCATTTAACATTTTGATGTGCCGGATATTGCTTCGACGAAACAACGCAGTGCCAACAATGGAGGATGGCTCTAGCAAACAACTCGAAGACGGGAAACAATAAGAATACAGGGAAACGGCTTCCGATGTCGAGCAGCTCTCCCGTTAGAGTGGAACATTTCGATTCCGCTCGTCTTGTTTTATACAACGACGATACATTCCGATTGATAACGCGTGAAAAAAGAGCCAGCGTATGACTGAGCACTGGCGCAGCACTACAATGACTCACAACACTCCTTTTATCAATAAAACATTCAATTAAACCTATTAGTTACTTAAATAAATCGATGTCCAAACCCAAGCTAGTGTTGGAAGGGCCTCAAACTGTAACTCTTCTATATTCAAACACCACTACAACGATTTTATCAGTCTGTCTGTAATTGTTCAACACTGCCTCCTCTCGGGATCAGAGTAGTGATGTCTTTTGTTTTCATATATTTTGGTGATAAGTACCCACTGCTAGCTTTCTCAGTTGTGGCATGATGATTGTATATACCCACAGATGTTT